ACCCACACCCCCCCACACACACAAACACACATCGCTACCTCAGAACTACAAAGTTCTATCTCACATTTTTGGCCGTTTTGAGTTTCAAAGTCCTTACGGTCAGAACCAATAAATAATGATTATTCTCTCTGCTCTGTCAAAGTTGTAAGAATATTCGTCTCATATGACCTTATGCAGTTGCCAGCGCCGTAAAACCTCAACTAAAACTAAAGGAGTCGCCATAAAGACATTCAAATGATCGCATTCGAAAAAGCTTCATGTTGTAAAACAAAAAACAAAACACAAAAAATGTCACGTCAACTTTCTCAAAGCTAGGTACTAAGTAGATAGATAGATTGATTGAGTAGGTGTTTTACGGCACTTTCGACTCACTAAGTAGATAAATAGACTGATTGAGTAGGTGTTTTACGGCACTATCGACTCACTAAGTAGATAGATAGATTGATTGAGTAGGTGTTTTACGGCACTATCGACTCAGTAGACAGATAGATTGAGTGAGTAGGTGTTTTACGGCACTATCGACTCACTAAGTAGATAGAACTTTGTTTTTCTAGGGAAGCAACATATCAGGACACCCGCCCATCGCCCATATTCTACTTACCACTCGCTGGTGGTTGCACAGCGTTGTCCTCCGATGTTTTCGTCACTGCAGAAAGAAATATAAAAACAGGCATGATTACAACTGTCTGTTTGTTTGGGTTGGTTTTTGTAAAAAATTAGACGATGCTTTCAAAACGAATACATCATAATATGAGTGCCGACGGTTTAATGGTCTTCTAATAGAGAGTAATGTACAAAGAAAAGAAGGGGGTGCAATGAAGACTTTTAAAAGGAGAGAAAGGGGAAGAGAAAAGGACGATAGACGTTTGAAAGGAGAGAAGGGAAAAGGACGATAGATGTTTGATGAGAAAAAGGGAGAGACTAAAGGACGATAGATGTTTTCTAAGAAAGAAGGTGGAGAGATAAGGACTGTAGACGTTTGAAAGATAAAAACAGGAGGAGAGATAAGGACTGTAGAGGTTTTAAAGATAAACAAAAGGAGGAGAGATAAGGACTGTAGACGTTTGATAGTTTAGAAGTAGTAGATATAAGTATGATAGATGTTTGTTAGGAAAGAAGTTAGTTTAGTTTCAATAGAGGTTTTACAGCGCTCGCAACTGCATAAAGTCATATGAGCGCCAGAAGATTAGAGGTGTTACAAGAGAGTAACAATCATAAAAAAGAAGAAGGGAAGATAAGGATGATATATATCTGATAGGAAAGAAGGAGCAAACCACACCGGAGCACCCGCCAACCGCCCGCTAGGAAAGAAGGAGGTAAGATAAGGACGATAGATATTTAATAGAAAAGAAGGGGGAGAAATAAGGAAGAAAGATGCTTGATAGGAATGAAGGAGGAGAGATAAGGAACATAGACGTTTAATGGGAAATAAGGAGGTGAGATAAGGCCAATATGTTTGATAGGAAAGAAAGATAGGAGAAAAAGGAAGACAGCTGTTTGATAGGAAAGGTGGAGAGTTAATGACGATAGGTGTTTGATAGGAACGAAGGAGGAGAAATAAGGACGATGGATGTTTGATAGGAAAGAAGGAGGAGAGAAAATGACTATGGATGTTTGATAGGAAAGAAGGAGGAGATATAACGGCAATAGAGGTTCAATAGGAAAGAAGTAAGAGATATAAGGACGATATATATTTGTTATGGAAGAAGGAGAAAATCAGACCAGTAATAACAGTGCGGCAGCACGAAATAGAAGCAAGGGGAGATACAACTTTATACAATAACACAGCTTCTTCCCACCCAGGAATCGAACTGGCGAGTCCTGCTTGCGACAGCGAAGCTCCGAACTACTACACCACTGAGGTATGCTGTTTTGTGAGTAAACGTCTGGCGGCAGTCACTTCTTTCACACGATCTATTGCATCTATTATATTATATAATATTATATTTGTGAAAGTTTGTCACTTTGGTCGCCTTAAACTTCCGAATCACTTTACTTTCGAATTCGAAAAAAAAAGAAGAATAACGGTGGTTCAGAATCATTTAAACGGTGCACAGTTATATTTAGGAGTCTGAAGTCACTCTAGTTTAATTTTCAGATTTTAAAAATTAATTTCGTTTAGATCTGATCTTGGGAAAGTCCGTCTTCTAAGACGTCATTGTAAACAAGTGAGGGTTCCGTTCACATGCAGTGCGCACTGTCCCACAATAACTTGCCGATCGATTCTTTTGAGTCCGTTCATCGAACGGGGTACCCAGTTAGTTTAAAATACTATATTCTTCTTAGCCTTGTTTGTTCGTTTGTCTGTTTGTTCGTTTGTCTGTTTGTTCGAGTAGAGAGAAGCATACCGACACAATAAAGCTGAACAACTGTTCAAATAATATGTGAGGCAGCGTGGTGGAATCAGGCTCTCGTAAATTTTTGGACATGTGGAGTTATTGTTATCATCTTAAAACATGTTCACTTGTCTTTATTTGGATGAAATAAATATCCATTTATCTTGAATACAAGTCGAGATATTTGCGAATAAAGGAGATGGGGTCACCTGTTTTCAGGGGAAAAATTAGTGAGAAAATGGCCGCCAAAGATTAGTTATTTCCTTAGCTTAAGAGTCCGTGGCAAATGAAAGTTTACATTTATTGTACCTTTAATCAGAGTAAAAAAAAAAATCCACATAGAAATGAGTTCTTTAATGGGCATGAAAGGTGTTGAGCCAAAAAACTAAAATTTGACAAAAATTCACAAACCTGCAGAAAAATGCAAGTTTCTTCACTTTGATTATTTTGACGAGAGCCTGATTTCACCGCGCTGCCTCACAAATAATATACTAAGCCCATCCCCAAATCTTTAGGTTTTTAAATTGCAGATTCTTAAGTTAATTAGTGGTATTGATTGCACAAACTCATGAATTATTTGGTCCAAATTCAATTTCAACATGTTGACAAAATACGTTTGTTTATTGTTTGTGAGAGTAAAGATAAACACATCGACACAATAATGGTCATTTAATGAAGGGGAAAATAAAACAGACAAACGGCAACAGCAGAGAGAAAGTACAGAAGTGGAACCAACCAGCGGCGCCCTCCAACCACCCGCTGAAAAAAAAAGCGAGAAAAGATACAAAACGTACGTATGATATTGTTAAAAGAGTTAAAACAGTGTTCCCCCTCTCTCCTGAAAAATCGTTGCCTCGGAACTATTTTAAATAACAATAAATAAATAAATATAGCGTAAATCCCCGCTCAACAGCAGACTCTATGCGCTTTACACTATATTATTATCCCAGCAGACCATAGAACTCTCAGAAACATTCTCAGCTTCCCGTGAAGCATACAGTGTAAGCAGCCGATTAAGCGCTCAAACACTAACAAACTGACAAGATCTTTCGCTGTCTAAAGCCGGGTACCCATTCTCATCTGGGTGAAGTGAGGAAAATTTGTGCAAATTCCCTTACCCATGGACACAACGTCAGGCCCCTGACGGGATTCGAACCCACGACCTTATGGTTGCAAGTCCGAGAGCCTAACCACTAGGCCACCGACACTACACAAAGTGCATCTTTATTTAGATATCTAAGTACACTTTGGGCAAATGAATAGCTCGGAAGAGATGAAATAAATAATGATGATTTCTGGGCTTACTACATCTTGCTGACCATCTGGCCGATGACGATGGTCATTCAGTGCTGACGCAGTCGGGGCCGCCATGCTGCCAAACGCAGATGCAACCCATAGGTAAACATATGTGAGGCAGCGTGGTGAAAACAGGCTCTCGTCAATCTTTGGGCGTGTCGAGTTATTGGTATCATCTTAAAGCTCGTTCAATTGTCGTTATTTGTATGAAAAAAATATCCATTTATCTTGAATACAAGTCAAGATATTTGTGAATGAAGGAGGTGGGGG